ATATATATATATATATATATATACATATGTATATTTAAAGTTATCATATCTGCTGTTTCCTACAGTAAGTGTGTACACCACTCCACTGGTGTATTTTGAACTCATGTTTTCAGTCACAGTTTAGGTGTTAGGGTTACTTTTTTCGTACCGACCTGTAACACTGAGTGCCGAAAGCTTAAGAAATGTAATCTTATTTACTTGCTTCTTAAATTAAATTGTTCCTCATTTCACACAATTTTAGATTGGAATTTAATTAGGCAGAGCTCGTATTACACCTGCTCGTGGTTTCTTTTGTATATAATTTGTTTTTCAATGTAAGGTATCTGGAATAGTATTTATTTTGATAATGGATTTGAAACTCTGGTCTTTATCTCTAATATATTTGAAAACACTGACTAGTCCTGAATGACAAAATATTTTACTTCACATTCAGTGTATTTTAATTTATTATTCATGGTCATAATGAGTTGACTTCTGTTTTTATGCAGATGACACCCTGCTATATCTACATTTAAAGCTCAGTTACCACCAACAGTTATTCTTAGTCTCAGATTGAGTTTCATGATATTGTGTCCATGTCTCATTAAGAAAAGAGTTTGTCTCTGGCTAAGGAGTGAATAAAGTGAGGGTCAGATTCAGAAGTTAAGCAATGATTTATTTTTATTTTTTTAAATGCTGTTTTTGTAGAAACAAAACCAGTATTTGTTTAAACCGAAGTATGAAAGCCACCTTTGACTTTGAGATGTGGTTGAAAACTCTGGAAAAAGCTAGAAAGTGGACCTTGAGTTGAGATTATTTTGTAAAATTCTTTTTGTTTGTTGTTTGGCTGCTGATCAGACTAAATTATGATAAAATATTGGGCTGTGGTATGATTTAATGGACATTTATGGGCTAAACGATTACTGAAAAAGCAGTCAGTAAATGGATAGTAAAAATAATCATGCAGTCCTTAAACAAGCCCACTTAAATATAGCTCATTTTCCACCCAAACTGCTTGTATTGTATATATTTTAATATCTAGTTTCTTTGTTTTTCAGAGAACCTTTTTTTGAAAAAAAAAACACACACACTTAAACCTTAGTCCACAAACACACACACACATTTTCCCACTTTCCTCTGGGAGGTGTACAGGAAAGCTTGGGTTGGTTGTGTAGAAGGAAGTTCAGTGTGTTTGCATCTTTATTTCTGTGTGGGTGTTTGTGTGTCTCAGAGGGGAGCTGCAGCTGTGAAGGCTGGCTCAAAAATGTGAACTACACTTGCACACTTACAATGACACACACACACACACACACACACGCATACACTAAAAAAGATAGGGGCTGTCAGTATTACTGTCAACAGTTCCTTGCCTGCTCCAGAAAAGTCTCGCCTTTAAAGGCTCAAATGCAGATTGAGTATCACAGCTTTAAGTCATCACAGTGAACATGTACACCATTGTGGATGGATTATCTGGTCCAGCAGGCCGTGAAGAACAACTCAAACTGAATTATGACATGTGTTGCTCATTCAGAGAAGGCTTCACACAATTCAAGATCTTCTCTAAATCAGTCTCGTCTTCTCCTGGATCCCCCTCACTTCCCACGTTTGTTATGATTTGAAGAGAATAAATGTGATTGTAGAGCTTTTATTTAAAATAAGGCGAGGGGTCCTTAAATTTGTCAAATGGTGTGGATTATGGCAGGAATGGAACAATATTTTCAATTTTAACATCTTTTTTAGTAGCTTTGGCAATGCCAGTTGGAGGCATTTAATGCCAGAGCTGAAGCAATTAGTCAGTTAATTGATCAATTTACAAAAAATGACTCAGCAAAAATTCTGATAAAGCGTTTCAAGTCATTTTCAAGAACAAATGCCAAACATTCTCTTGTTCTAGTTTCTCAATTGTGAGGATTAATTAAGACATTTTTTGAAGATGTGATGGGAATTGTCCACTATTTCTGATGTTTTGTAGAATAAACAGTGAATTTATTCATTGATAAATCAAGAAAATAATCAGCAACTGTAACAGTTATGGTTAGTTGCAGCTCTGTTTCATAAATTATACGTGCTATGTCACACAGATGAGACGCCACATAGAGGCTAAGTGGGCTTCAAAACATGCTTTAATAACATGAAAAGTGAGTTGAGTTTGAGGGTTCAAATAAATAAAATAAGCTTAACCAAAACAGCTAATATATAATAACAACAAATAAATCGAAAAATAACACACAGTGTGATCTTAAATAAACCACAAATAGATTATTATATCCCAAACACCAAAAAGGGAGGAAAATAGGAAAATATAACAACCCTTAAAATACAAATTCAACATTGAGATGCAGAACAAGTATTCTCTCTTCCACCCAAATTGTATAACATCCAGTATCCCTTTCTTCTACCACAAAGCTTTCATGTTTGTACAGGGCTCAATGAAGAAAAAGCATTCTCAGTTTCCTATGTGCTGCAAATTTGCCCTGCAGGAGTGATTCTGTGGCAGTGAGAATGACTGTCAAAAGGAGGCAATTGTGTGTACAAAGATTGAACGCCTACAATTTAGCATGGTGAACATGTTCCATCTAGCAGAGATGGAGGAAAGAGATTGTTCTTTGTTAGTCAGACAGAAGTTAATGGCGGACAGCTTGCAGTAGCTGCAGTTAGCAGGTGAACGTAAATTATAATTCAGGTTTATTAAAACTTGGATCTCTTATTTTTAAGTTTGGAAATCTGTGAACACTGCAGCATCCCAATAAAGGCTGATGGGGCAAGAAAGAAGCTAAAAAACCTACAAAAATAAGATTGTGTTCCCAGATTACATTACTGACCTGAATATAATCCAAACCTAAAATAATTTTTGAATGGCACTGCAGAGCTCTATATTTTATCATACCAACCTCCAATTTTTCTACCAGAGGACTATTTCCAAAATATCGAAGCAACTTTTAGCCACATTATAGCTGTCATATCTCAGAATCTTTTCCAATTCGATGCATACTTGACAGGCCTGACTTCAGCCCTTCCTCATTAGACCTTAATATATGCTGGATATAGTTTGAATATTGTACTATGATATATATATAATTCAATATTTTATTGAATATTGTATGAAGTGGCTGTATTTGAATTCAGAGACAGTCATGCTGGAGGTGACGGATAGAGACTTGCGGAGAGAATAAGATTTAGACACAACAAAGCAGGAAAATTAAAAGGCAGACAGAGGAACGGACACAGATATCGGAGGTAAAGAAAGTGCAGATACACAGCCTGTAGTAATGATTTGATTATATCTGATTCTTCCAATGTGAGGTTGATCATTTTGGCCTTTTGTGATGGCGAATGTACCCGTATGCCGTTCATGAAAACTTTGTCTAGTCTGTAAATGTGCTGGTGCACTTCTTCATCTGGTAAAAAAAAAGTGATCTCTCTCTCTCTTATCTTACCTCCTTTATTATACCCCGGCATTCAGATGGGTACAGCATGAGATGAGAGAATCAGTTTGTATTGAACATGGTTGAATGCAGTGCTGATGAAAGCTCATGC